GAAGACCCCTGGTTTGATTGCATTTCCTTTTAGCTACAATAATTATATAGATAGATCTAATGTATAATCCATACATAAAATAGTGTAAAATACAAGCATTGGAGGTTAGAGAAAATATTGTCACCCCCCCTTCCTCACTAATAGAAGTGCCTTTTGTTTATCTATTTTGACATGCACAACAATTTATCTAAAATACAGAAAACTGGATGTACATGTTTTTTTTTACTGTAGATTCTTACAAATACTACTTCTGTACGTGTATGGAAGAAATAATATAATAAAAAGCTTTGCAAGGAGCTCGGCTCTAGTTCTTTTTTCTTCTACTTTCTAGACGCAAACTTTGAAGCCTCATACTAGTATCTCATTCATTTCTCAATTTCCTGATTTTGAAATGAGATTTTGTCCGCGCAACTCCTCCAGAACGGCTTAAGATATGAACTGGAGACCTATAAGAGATGATTATCAATCACTTGTAGATGACGACAATCTACCTTTTGTGCATCGTCGGTACTTTTTAAATCATGCAGAGTGTGTTATGGCCTTGAATCAAGGTCATTAGGGATAAGATATTTAGGCTGGATGCATTGTTTGAAAAAACGTGTGTGAATTTGTCAATACGGTAGCGCACAACTGGGATATGCTCATCACCAGCGTGTGTCATGGTGTGACCCAAGGTCATTTTGACAAGGTCAAGGTCGCAAATATTCCTTTACTATCTTTTTTAATTGTAAAACATAATAAGATGATATCTACCCTTAAAAGATTGTTTTAACATTAGAACGTGGCATGACCTTGACTCAAGGTCATTTCTCTCTGTCCGCAGCTCCGGCGGAAGACGTACTCGTTGCTTTGCAACGAGCTCGGCTCTAGTTCTTTTTTTCTTCTACTTTCTAGACGCAAACTTTGAAGCCTCATATCAAATTCATTTCTCAATCGATTTCGCTCAAATTTTCAGAGTTACTAGAAGTTACTAAACTCTATCAGAATGCTGTCTAAAATTTCAAAAAGTCACTTCCGGTTTGAGCTATTTCCCTTTAAATGAAAATTTATAGGCTTTCGTTTCCAGACAAAGGCTCAGAGACGGCTAAAGCTGGAGCAGAAATTCTACTGACTTTAGATAATAGAAGGATTGAAGTTGTGCACATCGGTTTTTGTTTTTCGATTTCTCTATTCAAAATGGCGCTATATAGGGGTCAAAAATTGGAACGCTTAAAAGAGCCAAAAATTACTCATATTTTGCTTTTTATCTTCTAAACTAAAAATATTTTGTTAAAATATATAAAACATAATTTCTGCAGAATTAGAAGATCTTTCAAATGATATCTCGGAAAAAGGGCTGACCCCTAAATTAAGGGATCTAGATGGGCCAAATTTTTTTTCCAGATATCTCAAAAAGCATTAAGAATTTGTTATACATCAAAGAACCAAAGTTGTTGAAAATCTCTGGTAAAATCTACTGATGTCATCAAAATACGTCCTGTGACATCACTTCCGACCAAACCGGAGGTAGTCCGAAACTGCATATTTTTGCCGTTTTTGACATGTTTTGGGGAAATTTTTGTCACTGGAAGCATGAAACTTAATTTTCCGTCCGTCGACGTCACTTCTGGTCAAACAGGAAGTAGCAAAAAATGGCTTACTTTTGCAATTTTCACCAAAGATTTGGAAGATTTAAATCATTAGAGACGTTATTTCTCTCTCTTTTTTTAAAGTTACTTCCGGTCAAACAGGACGGAAGACCTACTTGTTGCTTCGAAACGAGCTTTGCTGTAGTTATGATAAAAGATTAGTTTTGAAATCTCTCAAAGGGCAAATGAAAAGAGATTTAAACGATTTAAATTTTCCCTAAAAATGTGTATTGCTTCCAAATGTAAAATCAAGAACTATGTCTGCATTTTGACAGATGGAGAACATCATAGAGTGTGTTTTGAAATATCTCAAAGGTCAAATAAAGAGAGTATTAAAGGATTTAAATTTTTCAAATTATTTAAATTTCTGCCAAATGTAAAATCAAGTGCTACATCTGTATTTTGACAGATGGAGAATATCATATAATGTGTTATGAAATCTTTCAAAGGTCAAATAAAGGGAAATTTAAACAATTTCAATTTTCAAAAATATTAAATTGCTTTCAAATGTAAAATCGAGTACCATATTTGTATTTTGACATATGGAGAACATCATACAATGTGTTTTGAAATATCTCAAAGGTCAAATAGAGGGAGATTTAAACGATTTAAATTTTTCAAAAAATCTTAATTTCTACCAACTGTAAAATCAAGTGCTATGTCTGTATTTTGACAGATGGAGAACATCATATATAATGTGTCATGACAGCTTTCAAAGGTCAAATAGATGGAAATTTAAACAATTTAAATTTAAATTGCTTCCAAATGTAAAATCAACTGCTATATCTGTATTTTGACAGATGGAGAATATCATACAATGTGTTTTGAAATCTTTCAAAGATCAAATAGAGTAAGATTTAAACGATTTAATTTTTTCAAAAAATTAAATTGCTTCCAAATGTAAAATCGAGTACCATATCTGTATTTTGACAGATGGAGAACATCATACAATGTGTTTTTAAGTATCACAAAGGTCAAATAGAGAGAGATTTATACGATTTAAAATTTTCAAAAAATTAGATTTCTGCCAAATGTAAAATCAAGTGCTACATCTGTATTTTGACAGATGGAGAATATCATATAATATGTCATAACATCTTTCAAAGGTCAAATAGATTGAGATTTAAACAATTTAAAATTTTCAAAAAAATTAAATTGCTTCCAAATAAAAAATCGAGTACCATATCTGTATTTTGACATATGGAGAAAATCATAAAATGTGTTTTGAAATATTTCAAAGGTCAAATGGAGGGAGATTTAAACGATTTAAATTTTTCAAAAAATTTAGATTTCTGCCGAATTTAAAATCAAGTGCTATATCTGTATTTTGACAGATGGAGAATATCATACAATATGTTTTGAAATCTTTCAAGGGTCAAATGGAGTAAGATTTAAACAATTTAAATTTTTCAAAAAATCTAAATTTCTGCCAAATGTAAGATCAAGTACTAAATCTGTATTTTGACAGATGGAGAACATGAGACCATGTTCCCTTTCATCTCCTAAAATTTCATAAAGATCCACCGGACCGTTACTGAGATATCGGTGAAGGAAAAAAATAATAAGAAGAAAAAGAAACTTTACAATAATAGAAGGGTCTTCCGCTGAAGACGGAAGACTCTAATAATAAGAAGAAACAGTAGAATAACAGTAGGGTCTTCCGAAGGAAGCGGAAGACCCTAATTATTAATAAAAATATAAGATTAGAAATGGTTTTGTGCTCTGATATTATATTGAAATAGCAGAAATATTTGTTTAACAGCTATCGGATTAAGTGGAAGCCACTGTACTTGTACACAGAGACAGTTGGACGTTCCCATCCCCCCAATCCAGAGATTGTGTTGATCGTCAATACAGATAGCACTGGGAAATGGAGGACATTGTTCTGGTGGGAGTAGGATACACAGGAACTGACCATTAATGTCCAGCAGATGGACACTAAAGCAGTTCTCATTAAATGTAAAATAGTTATTACACACTAAAATATGTCCCAGGACATCTGTACAGATTCCATAGGGAATAAATCCAGTCTGAGACTCCTGACCAGAGTAAGAGAAGCGGTACTCTCCTGATGCAGTCACAACCACAACCTTACTAGCTTTAAAGTCTGATGTACAGATGTCACCATTAATGTTCTCTGTGACAAAGTGAACACCATGATAAAGAGTATTTCCTTGATTATCCCAGGACTGTATGTCCTGTAGCTTCCTTCCTTCTCTGTTGTATCTGGTTAGTTTCTGGTCTGAATTTGTGCACATCCAAACCAGTATGTGTCCGTTGATGTGAGAGGAGTAGATGGCTCCTGGTCTCCAGCTCCCTGTCTCAAAAAGTTTGTTGATGGACTTGTCACTAGTCACTCTGTAGACAGTGTTTTTATTGAAATCAGTGTAAAGAAGGTCTCCCTCTGTTGTGACTGTGTGGGTACCTTGCATATAAATCATACTGGTGGATATTTTCTGTAAGATGTTTCCTTCTATATCATACTGAATGAGATCATCCCCTGACCTTCCATTGGCCCAAAATTTGTTTGGGGGTAAGAGAGACAAATGAGACATTCCTTCTTCTTGGATAGTTTTTTCACTTACTTTTGTGACAGAGAAAAGTGTAAACTTTTCAGATGAATTTAGTTCTATTTCACCAAAATGTTTGGCTATTTCTTCTTTATTTAGTGTACCTAATGTTAAAATTGGCAGTTTGGGTTCAGATTTGGTAGGCATTTTCAGTGTAGCTAATGAAATATCTAAATGGAGCTTCATGAGTTCAGTATATTTTATGGATGACAATTTACTCTCATATTCTACAATCATTTTTTCCAAGTAATCAATGTAGTCCTTTGTTTTCTTCTGTTGCTTCACAATATCATTCAGGACAGAGTTCTCAATTTCATCCAGTTTTTTGTTATGATCACTTAGTATACTGTCAACAGTCTCCTTCAGTTCATCTGCTCTCTTCTTCATGGAAACTCTTATCTTTGCAATTTCTTTTTTAGCACATTCTCTCTTCTCTCCAATTAATTCAGCAGTGTATTCAGCCCCAGGAATGATTTTTTTCCAGATTTCAGTTATTTCCTTCTGACATTGCTGTACAATGTCATTGTAGATTGTTTCAAGGTCACTTTTATTATGATCACTGTGATGTTGGGAAAAGCATGAAGAACAGACAGGAACCTGGCAAACATCACAGTGGACATCTATGTCTTGTGTGGGATGGATTCTGCATTTCTCTGAAGGAAGTTTCCTTTTTCTCTCTCGATAGAGGACAATATCATGTCCACTATTCTGCTCTAGATGACGCTGCTTGCATTGATCACAGATTCGCTGGTGACAGGCATTGCAGTAATACTCAGAGAAGTTCCTACAGGATTCTGTGTCACACTCGATAAAGTGTTGGGCTGTATCCGGTACTTGATCCATGACTGCAGATCAAAACTCTAGAAAATATTTATTTTCATTAGAGTGTAGATAAGGCACTTATAATTATAGGTATCTATATATTAGATTTCAACACGCTCTACACTAGTTAAAGTATTAGCTTTTCTGATCTGGTTGATAAATCTCTTTCACAATACCTTCCCAGTCGTGATAAATGTCAGCCATTTGTAACTTGTATCCAGCCGTGAAATTATTTACTTCCTGCTAAAACACACTGTGGCCAGGGAACCGTAGAGAGCTGAGGTAAGCTGAATGACAAAAACATTTAAATTTAAATGCAATTTTCGCATCAGTGAAGAAAAAAGTATTAAATGTGTTAAATAACAGTAAAGCAGTGTAAAAATATATACCAGTCCAGCAATGTTAACCCTTTAACGGCCAGAGATTTTGCAATTTTTCTGCATAACTGCCTAAAAAAGTTCAAATAGAATTTTAGACATTTTCTAGTCACTTTTACATAGAGCAACCTAGTATATATTTTCTGAAAGATGAGATCCTAAAGTATTTAATTATCCAGAGTAATATGACGTCACGGTTGCCATGGCAACAATTGAGACCCATAATTGCCAAAATATGTGTTTTTCTCCCTTTATTCGTCCCTGAAATACAAACAATTTTACAAATGTTTCCAAACCATAGGAATTGGTGTTACTATTTAAACAAAGCATGCATTCAATTATTTTTTAGTTTTACTGGTCAATTTTATTTAATAGCAAGAGTTTACACAATTACACGATGTCCTTACATCATCCATTCGACTTCGGTTTTACAACTATCTGATTGTCGTAAGCAATTTTTGAATCGCTCTTCCTCCCACAGTTTTTTACTGACTTCAATAAAATTTGGTACACATGTGCAGCATACAAAGATGCACATTTTTTTTTTTATATTTTAGTATTTTTATTTCAAGGAACAGTATTGCCATAGTTACAAAAATAGCAATTTTGAGAAGGAGGCTTCCTAACAAATCATGGGTATTATATATCTAGTGTTATCAATGAATAAATTTACCTGCCTGGTTCCAGCGATCTGCATATCAGAATTCACAACAACATGTTATGTACTTTAACATACAATATCATTAATTTATCTTTAAGTTTTAGATGACGACCATGGGGAGAGTATGACAAAGAACTATGCACACTAACTCTTGATTCCAGCCTACATTTTATATAAACACCTTTTATTCAATCAAAATGACATTTTTGCAAGTACTTATTTTTTAATTACAAACATGAATTATTTATAAATGAATTCTAATATTAATACCTGTGTCAAATTGTTATTTGCTCTTAATTACAATTCTTTGTATAAAAATGAAGGGGGGGGGTATCAGATATATATATATCCACTGTATAATCAAGTTTAAACATCACAAGATTTTAAAATAGTTTTCATATTTTCATTTCTCATGGATATGGATAAATGATCCTTCATTTTTCTTTTAATTTTCACTTTACTTCACTAATGTGAAATAATTTTTTTTTCTGTAAACATACCCTCTAGATGTTTGTCTACGTTTACGACGAACAAAATGGTATCTGGGATAGTATTAAACGTAGGCAGAATAAAACTTACAGCTGATTTTAATCTGATTGATCAATATTATAGTTACATGTACCTTGGAGTATGTAATTGCAATCGGTAGCGTATGCATAAAGCAAATTCGAGTTTACATGACTTTGAAACTTTTTACTGGTATCACTATTATGCATGCATGAATTTAAATTTAAATTAAGACCATTCCACTTTTCCCTATGAAGGTTTTACCAAGTGCGGCTCATATCTTCCATTACATGTTTTATCGTCACCTATGATCCCCTTCCCAAATCAATTATCAATGCAAATGCAAAATGAACACCAACTAGCTGTGACATGTAGCATCTACAATAAATAGTCCAACCAGGGCAAGTAACTGTTTGATCCCCTTTATATCCATTACCCAGAATAATCCTAAATATCTCTATTTACTAAGAGACGGGAAGCATTGTTATTAAAATGTGTGTGTGTGTGGAAGGGGGGGGGGGGTTACAGATGAGTAAAAAAGGAAATGAAACTTAGGCATGGAATGTAAACAAATATGGAGGTGGCAAATGGAGCAGCCTTTGAAAATGTCCTTACCAAAGAAATCTTAAAAAGACTATTCTCGTGTGTCAACCTTCCTAAGAAAAACTGAGTGCATCACGTTGAGTCCAGTTTGAGTCACAATCTTGGTCATGTTATCTTTGCAGGTATACAATGATGTTTCACAATATATGTCATACATCTAAAGACAGATAGATAGATTACAACAAAAGCTACATATACCTTTTGTATATTAATTATTTTAATCAGCATATATTCAAAATTATTTTTTTTGAGTCAGAAGTACTATGGCAACAATCCTAAAATGTTATTGTCCAAGTGTTTCCCAACATTGTCTTGTTAAAATAACTTGGAGACTAATGCTTAGAAATTTTTGATCACTGTTTGGTAAGTGTCACAGGATACTTGAGATATTTTTTGTTTTATATCTGGGCCTCTTAGAACCTTCAATGTGCATATCTATTTTTATTTTAAAAGTTGTATTTAAATAAATGTGTCGTTTCAGAACTACCGGTATGTATTAATTGGTGTCCACTTCTTTCGCTCTTCCATTCAGTCAATCTTGCAAACTTTAATCGTCCGCGGCTCTGAACATCAAATGTCTTTAAATTCTGAAATCTTGTATGCAGACACACTTACAATGTAACTCAAATTTAAGATTTCTTGATAGACTTTATAAACTTATTGACATTGTTACAATCTATTTCCCTAAACTCAGATCGAATTTCATGAGGTTTTCTCAATGATTGACTTCACTTTGATATTGTTCTCATCTCTTCTTGATTTTTTTTTTTGGGGGGGGGGTTAACTTTCTTTCATATATACCGTATATACTCGCCTATAAGTCGGTCCGCCTATAAGTCGGTTGTATTTTTTAAGGTTATTTTGTGCGGATTTGCCATTGACCCGCCTATAAGTCGGTACAATTTTTTGTCAGAATCAGGTGACAATTTCTAATAAATGTTCTGATGTTTTAACCTGATTTCAATAAATAATTTAGAAATTTTACTTGTAATCATAAAAAATAATGCATTCTTAAGATAAAAAATATTAGAAATATGTACCGGTATGTACGTGTAAATGCTTGTACTTTACGATTAATCTTAGAATACATATATCATGATGATATAATATATCCAGACTTACAGATATATCCAAACGATAACCATGTTTATAGAATACTATGTTTCGCCGACCAGAAAAATACCAATCCTTTTATGACTCGCCTATAAGTCGGACATAGACTTTTGGGCTAAAATTTAACTCCCAAAAACCGACTTATAGGCGAGTATATACAGTACATTATAATTTAGCTCAAACTCTATATTATTCTTAATATATGAAAACTAGGCAGCAATTTCTGGTCTGGATAGTTTTCATCATCATACCCGTTACAATATTTAGGATGTCGTTCTTATGATATGTAAAAGTTTACAATAGATTTTTGCTGTAAGTTGTACTCTATTCTGAGAAAAGCTGAAATTATGCCATCACATACAATATCATCAGTTTCTTCATTATATATCATAATTTTACCAATATTTTGCAATATTACAATTTTAGATCAATATGCTTTCCTATGGAACGCCATGGCTGCCTTATGTTAGATTATTATATTATATGCTGTGCTTCTTATATTATATGCTGTGGATTTGTAATTATATGCTGTGGTTCTTTTATTATATGCTGTGGATCTATTATTATATGCTGTGGGTCTATAATTTTATGCTGTGGTTTTGTAATTATATGCTGTGGATCTATTATTATATGCTGTGGGTCTATAATTATATGCTGTGGTTTTGTAATTATATGCTGTGGTTTTGTAATTATATGCTGTGGATCTATTATTATATGCTGTGGGTCTATAATTATATGCTGTGGTTTTATAATTATATGCTGTGGTTTTATAATAATATGCTGTGGGTTTATAATTATATGCTGTGGGTCTATAATTATATGCTGTGGGTCCATTATTATATGCTGTGGTTTCATTATTATATGCTGTGGGTTCATAATTATGTGGGTTCATAATTATATGCTGTGGGTTCATAATTATATGCTCTGGTTCTTTTATTATGGGCTGTGGTTTCATTATTATATGCTGTGGGTTCATAATTATATGCTGTGGGTGTATTGTTTCATATTCTGTCGGTTTATTAGAAACTAGCTATTCGAATCTGGACTTCTGGTTTTTTTAGTTTACTTGCTCAAAAAATGGCGGCAACTGCACCAGGCCTAACCGTAATAGGAATGAGAGAGTGGAGTGCTGAATAGGAAGACATTACCTGATTGGTTTAAATGAGGTACATGTATGTTAAGTGTTTTTTAAGTAAAAATATTAATGTTTGAAATAAATGAGTGAATGTATGAATATTACAGAAATATAGAAATACCAGGGGAGACTATAGGAGAGGAGGTTGATTTTTTTTGGCAGAGTATTATTTACTGGTGGTTATAAGTAAGTTACTGTAAGTTAATTTTTTGAATTTAAACAACTGCAGATTTGACCTATAAACGCCATGGGACCCTATATTTTTTTTTTTTTTGGGGGGGGGGGGTATAAGCGCCTGGAATAAAGTTTCAAACGATTCCAAGGAATTGCTTGAAATTAAATTAGTATAGTAGTGAGAGGACAAAAGGTTTGTATAGAGTTATGTGGGAAAATAATTGGTACTCTTTTCCTTATAGAGATCTTAATTTTTAAAATTTTAAGTGAATTTAAGGTCAAGAAGAATGATATTTTGCTCTTTATTTGACGACACACCGAGAGGAAATATACATGTATATATAAAAAAAGGAAAAAATATTTGTTTTTGTTGTGTTGATATTTGAGAGGAGTTATGTCCTTTGTTAAAAGGGGGGGGGGGGAGTGAGAAGAATGTAGATATTAGCATATA